TCTAAGAACAGAGAGGCACAACCAAAGTAGGCGACACAGACAAACTTGTTCAACTAGAGAAGGAATAATTAATAGCACTATCATTGAAGTTGATGGAACTCCATGCAACCCCCAGCAATGGTTATAGTGTTTGATAGCTGTGTAGACTTTGAGTTTTAGGTTCTGATCTGTAATTTGGGGTATAGGACCACCTACTTTGTGGAGTTGTTGTGCAGATTAAGTTAAATAAGACCGCCTAAGCAAAGACCTTAGTATGTGTTTGACATATAGTAGCTACTTAGTAAATTACCACTTCTCCATTTCTCTTCCACTGCTAAACCCCTTCCCACTCTTTATTTAAGAATCATTCAAAAATATTTACTGAATGCCGACTTTGTGCCTAGAATTGTTGTAGGCACTTGGACCGCACCAGCAGATAAAGAGGCAAAAATCCAGTCCTCAAGGAGTTTATATTCCTCAATTACAGCTCAGTTCTTCCAAGTTTGGGTTAGAAACCTCTGAATTGACAATGGATGGATGAACAGATAAGTTGATGAATAATGAAAGTGAGCTGCTATCTGCTGTTCCTGGTTTGCTTTATATCTCACTTTCTCCAAGCCAAAAAGAAGGGTTAGTTTTATCCAGAGTCTTTATTTATTAGAGACAGCTGGAGATTCAGTACAGACCCGAGGAGTATGGTGCCCAATGCAGAAGCACTTGGCAGCCGATCCAGAAACAGAAGTGTCCTCACTCCTTCCCAGCCAGACACAAAAAGACCTGGCCATGCATTTCGTGTTGCTGGACTCCAAGAGCAGGTCTCAAGAATGGTCTGCGGGCTGGTAGCCTGTGAATTGTAATCCTGTCTTCTGCTTTCTGTACCTTGAACTTCAGCCAGCTTGGATGCAGGTCTGAGCTCTAAAATCCTGCCTCTGCATTATTACAGCAGGTGGAGTAGTGTGGCTGAAAAGGTGGGATTTGGAATTAGACCTGGGTTTTAAGCCTGACTCTGACATGACCAGGCTTCCCTGGTGGTTCATCGGTAACAAATCTGCCTGCTAATGCAGGAGACATGGGTTCTGATCCCTGGTCGGGAAGATCCCCCGGAGGAGGAAATGGCAGCCCACTCCAGTATTCCTGCCTGGGAAATCCCATGGCCAGAGGAGCCTGCTGGGCTATAGTTCACGGGTTGCAAAGGAGTCAGACACAATTGAACAACTAAATAAAAACAAGAACTGCCATCACCAGCTGTATTAGGTCCTTTCACTAGGACATGCAGAACCAGTAAGGTCTATGCTGGGTACTGATTTAAAGACAGTCTCTGCCGAGTCCCTTTTACTATTAAAAAACAACCAACCAAAGAGAATGAATCACCTAAGAACAACTCCTATCCACAGAGAAAAGCTTTATATGTTGTCCCCTCATTTTACAGGTAGAAAAAAAAAAAACAAAAAACAAAGGTGAAGCAACGTGCCTTCAAGTCACATAGTGAGTTAGGAGCGGAGTCAGCATGGGTCCCCTCTTCCTCTGTCAGTGCCAGACCTCATTTAATGGAGAGCTTCCACTTAAGGGAGACAGTCCACAGTTCTCCCCTGTGCTGGCCAAGAGCAATCAGTCTACGAGAAGCGTCCATCGGGTAAGCACAGAAGCCTCTCCCTTCATCAATGTCATACCTTGGGAAACTATCTCCAGTATAGATAACAGAAAGAATAAATATTTTTGTTGAGAGAAAAAAATGAAGACAAAGGTCAAAGGGAATCATGTAATGGGTTGAGTCAGGGAAGAAAAAGAAAGCTTTTTTTTTTCTCTCTCCTCTTTTTCTCCAAAACAGTCTTTATATAGAACTTGTCTAAGAGCCAATTTATTTGATATGGAAAAAATGTGAAAGCAGTCAGACACACACACACACACACACACACACACACACAAAGAGGTATTTGTGCTGGAGTTTAGAACTCAAATTACCAAGAGATAAAGGAGTTGAAATAGTAGGTTGACTTGGAACGATATTTTATTTTTTCAGAGTCTCAGAGAACTTTCAAGTCAGGAAACGGAGTCCGGCCCAGCCCAGGTCTCCAATAAATTCCTTGGGACTCGAGAAAGACAAAGAGGAAAAGGTCAAGGAAGGACTCAGTCTAGCCCTTGTGCCTGCAACACAGGAGGGACCAAAGAAACATTTGTTGAGGATGAAAGGACAAATGGTGCACAGTCTGGACCTGAAGAGTGGTGATTTGGGAAGCAAATTGGCCTAGGACCTGGCATTTTTACCAAGTGGTAGGGTCTTCAGCAATAAAGTGTGAGTGTCTAAGGACAGAGGACTGAGTCATCTCTGAAATCTATAGCTCCCAGCACAGACTACAGCACCTAGAATGCCCTCAATACATACTTGTAAATTGAATGAGTAGTCAGTCCTATGAGTAAAGAGAACTTGGAGCTTCCTGGGGCTTAGAGATCAGTGAGAATAATAACTATTAAACTTCAAACAGCATCAGAATCATCTGGAGACGTCCTGTAGGCAGAGTTTCTTAGTCAGCAGTCTGGGCTGGGGCCTAAGAACCTGCTCTTTCTAAATTCTCAGATCCTGTTGATGCTGCTGGTCTGGGCCACACTTCAAGAGCCTGCTTTGGTGCAGAGTTTTTTAAACTTGGCTGCAAGTCAGAATCAACCAGTGAGATGTTAAAGGCTTAAGAGTTATGCCTCATTCTCCTATTAAATCAATATCTGGGGCAGAACCAGGAGGAAAGAGAAGATGGGAATGTAAATAAGCTGGAGATGATTTTTAAATGTCCCCAAATTTTGTAATGTGCAACTCAGTCTGAGAATCCCTCATCTAGTACAACCTCCTCCTTGTGGATGTAAGGCCTCTGAGGTCCAGAAAGAGTAAGTGACTAGTCTAAGAACATATGGCAAGTTAGTGGCTTAGCTGAGAAGAGAATTCAGGGTGGTTTTACTTCTTTGGTGAAATCTACCATCCTGTACTTATCAACCCATGTGAGCTCTTGCAGGCTCACAGCTCCAGGCTAAGGAAAACAAAAAAAGAGCTGTGTCTAAGTTGAGGTTTTAAGACATCTATTATTTCTTCTCTTCCTTGTTTTACACAGAAATGTTAAGTGGATGCATATTTATAGAATTTTACCATTCTAGACAAGTGAGGAGATGGAAGAGATGGGGTTATGCAGGATTCTCAAGGCAAGACGATCTTTTAAGTACATCCTCAAACACAAACCAAGGGCTCCCTCTGAGTTCTTAAACAGATGTTCTTCATCTCTGAGTCAATGAACGGGCAAGGGTTTGCTTGCAATGTGCACGTTAATTGCCGGCCTTGTAAAAGGAAGTGCTGGTAAAGTGTCTGAAAGTGGTTCTGTCTCTTAAAGAGATTAAAAGTTTCCTCCAGAACTTGGTTTCTATTAATAACTGGCTTAGCACATATTTTCAAACAGACAGAGCAGAGATTGTGTCTTATATCTTCTTAGAACCAAAGAAAGTTCAACAAAAGGCCCATAGTTACCATCGACTTCCACATTTTCATCAGTCAGAGAGTAAATCAAAACTCAAAGAGATTGACTGATTTATCAAGCATGAGTCAGCAGATCAGCTGGGACTAGACACAAGGTGTCTGACTCCTGAGCTATTGTTCTTTTCAGTTCTCAAAGTGTTCCCTATCCATGTCGCTTGTACATACAAGAGGTAAGGTTCAACAGATGTGACTTCATAGACTCTTGGTATCCATACTAGGTGAGGCTAAGGCCCCCTCATTTGTTAAATTAAAGCAGAAATTGGGATCACATCTTTAATTGAATAGTGGTTCAGTGCACTGGCTTCGGAGCCAGGATGAATTCCAATCCTGACCTCACCACTTCCTAAGTATGTGATCTTGGACAAGTGACTTCACATCTCTAAGCTACAGTTTCCTTCTGTAAAATGAGAAGGAGACTAGGGCTGTGGTTGTGGAGAGGATGAAATAAGTCAAAGATGCAAAGACATTAACCCATGGCTTGGCAGAGAGGAAAAGCACTAATGGCTTCATAGTAAGGTGGTGCCTGTCATAAAACATAAATCCTTGGGATATTTGAGGAAGAGGTGATAGAGAGAAAGCTTGAGAAAGGAATATTAAGAACAAACATTATCTCACATCCAAGCAATGAGTACCCAGAAAGAACCATGGAGACCTAGAGCTGTGAGGGCGCCGAAGAATCAAATGGGTATGAACCTCTCTTCCACACTGGAAAACAAAGACGGTTACTGGTTATGCTCACCTGCCATCATTATCCCACTCCAGTACTCTTGCCTGGAAAATCCCATGGACAGAGAAGCCTGGTGGGCTGCAGACCACGGGGTCACTAAGAGTCGGACGTGACTGAGCAACTTCTCTTTCACTTTTCACTTTCATGCTTTGGAGAAGGAAATGGCAACCCACTCCAGTGTTCTTGCCTGGAGAACCCCAGGGACGGGGGAGCCTGGTGGGCTGCCGTCTATGGGGTCGCACAGAGTCGGACACGACTGAAGTGACTTAGCAGCAGCAGCAGCAGCCATCATTATTTTTAAGCAAGTATCGGGGAACATGCTCAGTTTCCAGCCAACCTACTGTAAGTTCACCCTTCCCTCAAAAAGCAACCACAGTGCATGAACATACTTCCATGTAATCTAAAAAGGAGATCATTAGCAAACTCCAGTTCTTGTATTTTCATTACTAATAAGTGAGTTTCTCATTGCTAATCTCATCCAACCTCCTTCATTTCACTGTTGGGAAAAATAAGCTACAGAGAGGTCAGAGAGGCTTAGAGTCCCATGTTAGACCTGTCACCAGCACTCAGGACTCGTGGTTCTCGGTCCGCTGTTCTTCCCACCATATCAACTCTGCCTCGTTAAGACAGCTCTACACCCAACGCCAGGTGACAAATCCCCAGAGATGAGTCTGTCTGTGATCACCCTCCCTCCAGTGCAGGACACTCTGACCCTCCCCGCATCCCTCTGCAACCCCCCGCCCCCTACCTGACCACCCCCTGTCCAGAGAGCACACTTACGTGTCTGTGAACCTTCTACCGAAGTGCAGGGTGGAGGCCACGTCCACCCGGAGAGGAGGGTCCCGCACCACCTTGTACCGCAGCGGCTTACACTCCAGGCAGAGTGGGCTGTCTGCCACCGAGGTCAGCATGGCCGCGTCAATCTCCAGGTGCTCATCCAACGTGTAGATCTGGACGCCATACACCTCCTCGCCCACATCCCGGAGCTTGATGGTCAGCGGGACATCACAGAAGATGTTCTGAGGCCCCAGGGAGATGTTATTCCCACTGACACCCAAGAGTTTGATGTCATTGACAGCCCCACTAGAGTCCCAGTCAGTGGAGACAAAGGTCACCCAGACGGTCAAAGACTCGGGGACCAAGGGGTAGCGGAATCTCAGGTCAAGGTGGCAGCCTTGGGGCTCAGGGCAGGCTGGAGGGATCGTATGTGGGTTGACGGCTGAATTGGGGCTCCAGGTGCGGACGCTGGACTTACAGGGCTGCTCAACATCTGGATGACCTGTGGACAAGACATGAGGATATGAGCTCTGGAAAGTCCTCCGAGTTTCCTGCAGCCCTCAGGAGATACTGGCCAGACCAGGACTCAGAGGGAAGGTAAAAAGAGAGGGAAGATTCTCAGTGTCTTGGTGAATCAGCTGTACTCACGGCACCCCTGCTCATTCCTACCCCAGTGACGTGGATCCGAACGAACTGAATCACAAGACGTTTGTTTCAAATTACCTTCAAGTAAGTTGCTTACGATTGAGTCGTGGCCCAAACTACCCCTCCTCATCTCTCACTTGATGGAAAGAAAGAAGGGATGCATGCTAAACACCCACTATGTCCTCTGAACCAGTTTAATTCTTGCAAGGACTCATTTCTGAGGTGAGGCAACCAAGGCTTAGAGATGTGGAGTGAGCTAACCAGAGTCTCACAGCTTGATGTGTAAAGTCAGCACTAGAGCCTAGTTCTGTCTCACCCTGAAGTTCCTCCTTCCCCAGACTGAACGCGAGAGCCGCTAATATAAACTAGACTCCCTCCGGTACAACCTGCTTGTAATGACAGAAGGGCCAGAAACCTCCAGCGAAGAGGAGGTGAGTTACGATAGCTTCTGCCTCTTGGGCTGAGTTTTCTTGGAGGGAACTGTCTAGAACCATGAATGACAGAGGTGGAAGACAGCCCTGGAGCCATCTTATCTCTTTGCCTCCCCTTCTTCACATGAGGTCATTCCATACCACGGGGCTTCTCTGAGCTCTGTCCAGTCGGACTCAGGGAGGGGAGGGCTGCTTAGGAGCGGGGAGAAGGAAGGAGAGATTCTTCCAGTCTTTCCCTGGGGAGACGATGCCTCATTCCCCACTGATCTCAGCCTGAGCAGTGACTTCTGGATTTTTCTCTGCTGAGATCATTAGTCCTAGACCCTCAGAGAACTCTCCTTTGCACCGCTGAGAAAAGTAATCAGGACTCAGTGCAACAACTGGCTCTGATTTATTTAAGGGTGTCTAGCAAGAGATGCACATCAGCTGGTGAGGGGAGGATGGAAGACCTCAGGTTTTCCTGTGAGCCACATTCTCTTTTTTCCTCCCTTTAAATCAGTGGTTGATAGGGGTGGAGGTGCTGGATATTTCAAAAGCCAAAGGGGGGAAAAAACCCATCAGTTGTAGCCTGAAAAGGCTTTATGATAATGTTACAGTATAATAAGAACCAACACAATATGAAAACTAGAAACCAATTTTGGGTGGAAAAGCCATTCCAGGGAAAGTTGTTAAGTATCTCCAATGCCCTTGCCTCTGCCCAGCCAAGGGAGTAGAGAGACGATGTCCAGGGGAAAAGGAAAAGAGAAGAGAAAAAGAGGGGGGAGAATGGGCAGGGGAGATAGGGGAGGGACCAAGGACAAGGAAAATTCAAAAGACTCTTTAGATACAACACATCAGAACAAGAAGACATGGATATGACTACAAGGTTCCCTCCACCTTCCCTTGGCCAACTTCATTTATTACTTGTGGCAAATGCTGGATAGAAGAGAGCAGCTGTTCACGGCAAAGGCACAAGTAAGGCTGAAGTCTTTCTTCTCGTCAATTCTCCAACCCAAAGAGCTCCTGATCCTTTTGACTTTGTGGGTCTTTTGGTACTCACGGAGCACTTAATCATTCACAAAGCCTTATCAAGGGCAGTGTTTCAATACATACAAGGCACATTCCTTAGCCATTAATGTGTTCATCTGATTCGCACCAAAATCCTGTAAGATGGTTGTCATTTTTGTCTTTTTGTTTTAAGTTCTGTTTCACTCAGTTGCCATGTTCAGTGCTTTAGGCAGAGCCTGGTGCAGCAACAGGGAACACAGTGGACATTCGATAAATATTTAAGTGAAGACTCTTCTAGTATGTTCGTGTGGAGTTAAAGAAGTGAAGGACCCAGGGACTATGAGGGCCTGCTACGTCATGGCATGTTCCAGGTGAACACCCCCCTGCCCCCCACCGAGCTGATAAGAAATGGAGAGATCTTTCTCCCTTCCTTGGAGAAAATGACTTTCAGTGGTGGGAAGCCACAGGAGAGCAAAGATGACAAATCTCTTTGGCTCCGACTTTCATCCCTGGTTTCTTGTTAATCAACAGAGAGACCAAATGCTTTCCAAAGGATAAGAAACTAAGCTTGATCATTATGCTCAAGTAAGTAAATGGGACTAGAAATATTAGCAAAGTGTGAGCTTGTCTGGTTATCAGAACAAACTTTTAGATGTTAAAAAAAAAAGAAAAAAAAAAGAGTTTCAAGGGGCACTGAGTCCCTTTAATAATACCAGGCTTCACACACTGACCATAATCTGTGTGCTGGGCGCTGTGCCAAGCATGTTACATGCCTCAACTCTTTTCATCCTGCCAATAAGTCTATGACGTTGGTCTTATGAAACTCATTTTACGGAAGAGGAAACAGAGCCTCAGATGGTTAAGTAATTCCATGGTGGTGAGCGGAATACTATGTGATACTGTGGGTCCAGAGAGCATACCAAACTTTGAAGGAATAAAATATGGGTTAAAATATCAATTATATAGCTTCTCACCATATCACCCACTCTAACGTTGTCTACCCCACAAGGGGTACTATAAAACTCAAACGGGATGAGACATTTAATAGATGAACATATTCACAAATACATCAGCTCTGCTTTGACACATATGGGAGAATTAACAAGTAAAAGCCTGGGAAGAGGAGATATTCTAAGCAAAGAGAACAGTTAAGAGAGAAAGTGAAATAAGATGATTGTGGCTTTGAGTGCAGTGGGAAGGCAGTAAGTGGTAAGGCTGGCAAGATAAGTTGAACCCAGATTACGAAGGGTCTTGGGTGTCACTTTAAGGAAACTGAACTTCGTGCTAAGACAGCTGGGGAGTTAGTGAAGACTTTCAGGCAAGCAAATGAAGGTTGTCTTTCAGAAAAACCAACGTTGAGAGTCACAGATACTCTCCATCCACCCATCTATCCATCCATTCATCCACCCTTCCACCCATTCATCCATCCATCAGTCCACCCACCCATCCATCCATCCAGAGAATGGCTGCCTCTGCCTGTGTCCGGGGCTAGGTTATAGTCCCTGGAAGAACGGGTTTTGCAGACATGGTCTCTGCTCTCACGGAGCTTCCAGTCTAGTGAAACCAGTTAAGAAACTATTATATCAGTGCAGATAATACACAACTCTTGCCTGTACCTAGGGAACATGAGAGGCAATGAGGACAAATCAGGGTTCCTAAACCGGGAGGCTGGTAAGCTGTGTGGTGACGAATCTGGGAGAGGGGTTGAGAAAAGGAAAGGGAAGGAAAGGTGGAGAGGAGGAGGATAGACAGGGAAGGGGAAAAAGAGGGAAGGGGATGGAGGGAGGGGAGAAGGGAAGGCAGGGGAAAGGAAAGAAAGGAAGGGGCAACGAAGAAAAGTATGTAGGAACTGCTACTTCATTACAAGTACATATCTTTTTCATATGAAAAGTCACGTGTCTATAAGCAATCCACCAGAGATCAGGCAATATACGTGTGTGAAATGTATTTATACAAACCCACGCTGATTTAAATGTACATTTATGACAATCTGTACAGACGTCTATTACATATCTTTGTGTATAACTGCAGCTGTTGACACAAATACTGTTTATAAAAACGCGGTGCCAAGTTTTTTCTAGATGCATACTTCAGCACACCTGAAATATTCTGGGAACAAAAATGGGGAAAAGAGTCACACAAGTAAGAAAACATGAAAACAGCCAGAGCCATTCGTTACCCTCTCACGGAAAACCCAGCAGTTGCAATGTATTATATGCTTGCATAAGTGATCTGAATTTGAGATTTGAGTCAATCAGATCTAGCTATCTGATTCCTGAGCTACGAGCGTATCGTGGTGTTGAATATCTCAGAAAATGTTCATCTGTGAAGTACAGTTTTTGCTCAAGAGAAGGGAAAACAGGGTTTCTTTTTGGTACAACCATGTTCTGTGGCCAAAGGCAAGAATTTCTGTGATTACATTTTTCCTGAAGTTCTCAAGATGGAGTTAGTGGAACATAGTGAATATGCCATAAATGTTTGTTAAGTGAAGAATGTTCTATCTTGTTAATGTGGAGCTAAAACTATGAGGTTGTGGCTCTGTGGAATATCCTCGCTGGAAAGGACATTCTGTTGATAAGATGCTATCTTCAGAAAAGCAAAGTGACTCACTCAAGGGCACAGAGCACATTGATGGCCAGGCTCAGACCAAAACCCCAACCCCGTCATCCTCCCCACACCCATGCTCTTTCCCCTACCCCAAAGATACGTCTGGCATCGCTCACAGATTGGGGAGTTTTATGTTAGTTTGGGAAGTCCAAAAACTTAAACACGCAAAGATAAATAGGATGAAAATGAGTTGAGAAATACACTGCAGAGCTTGGCTCATGGAAAAGTTTATTTCTTCAAGAATATTAAAAGGGTCTGAGCCAAATGGATCACAGAGCCTGTAATAGGATGCTCTAAAAAAAGAACAGTGTCTTTTCCTGGCCTGCGTGTACTAAATTTGCATATCCTAAAGGAAAACCCAGGGCTGCTGGGTTTTCTTGGAGGCCTGAGTCAACTCTGGGTACAGGGGAGGTGGTTCAACACTGCTCCGCAGCTCCTGCTTTAAGAGGGTCAAGGATGCACCAGGAGCAGACCTAACCAACTGACAGTTTGGTCGGATGGTGGTGTGGGGTGATGCCAGGGAATTATTTCATTCATTCAAGTGATGGGACAAACTAAGACGGTTTTAGCCAGAAAAGTCTCAGGGTAGAGTCTTGCTACTTCATCCACCCAGTGTGCATGTCTGCGTGCTCAGTCATATCTGAGTCTGCAACACCGTGGACTGTGGCCCACCAGGCTCCTTGGCGCATGGAGTTTCCCAGGTGAGAATACTGGAGTGGGTTGCTGTTTCCTGCACCAGGGGATCTTTCTGACCCAGGGATCAAACTCACACGTCTTGCCTGTTCTGCATTGACAGGCAGAACTCTTTACCACTATGCCACTTGGGAAGCCCAATCGTCCTCCCAAATCTCTTTCAATCCCCTTGACTCTTCTCCAATCTCAGTGCCACTGACCTCAGCCAGGCCACCACCGTCCCTCTCCTGGGTTCCTGTAACAGCCACTTAGATGCACCCTTCTCCCTCCCCTCAACCCCACCCCAGGTCTACTCAATCCCCAACCTCTTCATTACAGAGCAGACCAGGTGATCTTTTATAACAGGCACATCTCACCATCTCCCAGACCCATGCCAAGGCACGTGGCATCTCCTCATGACCCTCAGAGTAATCCAAACCCACCCTCATCTGGTCATTACACGTCTCACTCCAGCTCAACCACTCCCTAGTCTACACCTTTCTCTCCATACCCATTTAAGTTCCTACCCCATTATTGAAGAGCTTTTCTTCTTGCACATAGTATCTATGTCATTACCATATTGTGGATTAAAACTGAGAGACTTTAAAACACAGGAACACATACGCATGCATCCTGTTAGCTATCTAAGCAGAAAAACATCACATACCATGCAGTCACTGGGAAGCACCTCTGGAAACTCGGGAAAGAAAGGGAGTGAAAAAGATAAGCTGTGTCACAGTATTACTATGAAAACATCTTTTCCTTGGAGGACATACTAAGAAGCCTTAGGAACCGCTTAAGTCTCCAGATCACGCTAAAATAACCAGTGCTCTCAACACAGTCAACTCCTCTCACATTCTTGAATGCATCGTGCTGACTGCTGACATTTCCTCGGCGGGGCGTGAGTCTCGCTTTGGGATGAGGTCCCCCACTTCCTACCTGTCTCACCGCACTCTGTAGGTCCATGAGCACCAGCCTCATCACACCAGATGGAGAACGCCCGTATACTCATCTGACTCCCCTATCAGATAGCCAGCTCTGCAGAGAGCCCAGCACGGTGCCTGCCTGGTGCATATAGTCCCTGCGGTGGGCAGAGAGGAGATGGGTTTGTTCCTTGTATGGACGAGACATAGAGCTGCTTCTGGGAGAACCCAACGTGGGTTCAGTTTGGGCAAAAATGTCACCACTGCAGATTTCAGGAAGAACTTTCTAGCAGATGGCGTGAGAATGGGGAGACCAAGGAAAGACAGGAGCCGGTGCTGGGTGGGCACAAAGGGGATTCCTGCCCTGGGTGGGAATTGGGGTCGGATGACCCCAGGCGTCCCTTCCACATCTGACAGCTCGTTATTCTGTGGGGCTGAGCTGAGGGCTTCTCCCAGGCACCCCTCGGGCTTTACATTCCTGACGGATCTGTTTAGAGTTCCCCAGTTCGACTCCTTTTTATTTCAAGCTACTTTAGAAGATAACAGAGCACAGTGCTGTCATTTGTCTCCCTCAGGTTTCCTCTCTGATCCTTCCCCCTTGCTTTTTTCTATCTCTGGCTTTCTCTTTTTCAACCTTCTTTCTAAAAATATAGAGGAGAACAGGGGAGTTCTTGCTGAACCTCAGTGAAGAGTCAGATTCTGCTTCCTCTGGTAGCCGCGGGTCCCTACTCAAAGACGGTTGGCATGAGCCGCCCTGCAGAGCACGATGAAGGATTTGGGGGGCGGGGGGCTTCTGTGTAGACGTCTCCGAGGGCAACAGAGGGCAAGACGGAGGGCTGAGATGGGATGTGAGGTTTCTGCCAGCCTGGCTTCAGGGACTAGACCTGTGCCTCGAAGAAAGAGACACCACACAAGGACCCAGAATAGGCAGTTGGCCGTGAGATTCGCTATGTTGCAAGCTGTCTTGCTTCAGGGCCAAGTGACAGGGCAACAGAGCATTGGATAAAAGACACTTTCTTAATTTCTCTCGAAAACTGGAGGGCAGTGGCAGTGAGTGTAAGGGAGCAGAGAGACTGCTGGTCTGCAGGGCGGCCTGGCAGACTGCCCCACCCCTAGCATGGAAGGTCTGCGGGTGAAGCCCACAACCATGGCCGTCCAGAGGAGCTTCCCTCCAGTGTCTTGCTGATACATGGATTCTGAAAAGGAAATGATACGGCAGGAGTCCGAGAGGAAGAAATGCAACACATGGAAGACTGCCTTGGGTATTCCCAGGAATAACTGCAGAAGAATCAAGGCTCGTGATGCCTTGAAGTCCTCCAATATGCATGTTGATTCTGATGTGAGCTTGTTGGTACCCACAGGCTGTCAAGGTCTAGGGCACAGACAAACACACACACAGGGTGTCTTAGCAGGTATGTGGCCTTGGGTACTTTATTTCTCACGGGCTTTGCTTCTTCATATGTAAAGTGGGATGACATACCCAGGACAGTTCAGGTGCTCAAAAAGACTTGTGTTGAACAAATGCATGAATACTGGCCTTGATGTAGGGGAAAGGGTACAAACTCCTAGCAAGACAATGAATAAATTCTGGAGCTCTAATATATAGCATGCTGACAACAATTAACAATACTGTATCTAAAAACTGTGTAACAAGTAGATCTTAAATGTTCTCACTGCTCCCCTCCCCCTGCAGGGGTGGGGAGGGGAATGTGTGCAGTGATCCCCCCCGGCAAAAAAAAAAAAGAAAAAGGTGTGCAGTGATGTGCGTGGTGACTTTACAATAAATGTGCTCTGCCATGCTAAGTCACTTTAGTCATGTCCGACTCTCTTCGACTCCACAGACTGTAGCCCACCAGGCTCCTCTGTCCATGGAACTCTCCAGGCAAGCATACCAGAATGGGTTGTCATTTCCTTCTCCAGAGGATCTTGCCAACCCAAGGGTCTATCAATCATCACATTGTACACCTTAAACCTACACAATATTAAATGTCAATTATATCTCAGAAAAAATTCTTTTTTTTTTTTTCACTCAGAAAAAAACAGACCTAAAAAGAAAAAAAAAAAAATACTGGGCTTGTGGGGCGATCTTAAGATCAAATGAGATGATACATGCTGCTGCTGCTAAGTCACTTCAGTCGTGTCCGAATCTGTGCGACCCCATAGATGGCAGCCCACCAGGTTCCGCCGTCCCTGGGATTCTCCAGGCAAGAACATTGGAGTGGGCTGCCATTTCCTTCTCCAATGCATGAAAGTGAAAAGTGAAAGTGAAGTCGCTCAGTCACGTCCGACTCCTAGCAACCCCATGGACTGTAGCCTACCAGGCTCCTTCACCCATGGGATGTTCCAGGCAAGAGGACTGGAGTGGGGTGCCATTTCCTTCTCTAATGCATCAAAGTGAAAAGTGAAAGTGAAGTCGCTCAGTCGTGTCTGACTCCTAGCGACCCCATGGACTGTAGCCTACTAGGCTCCTTCACCCATGGGATGTTCCAGGCAAGAGGACTGGAGTGGGGTGCCATTGCCTTCTCCGGATGGTACATGAGAAAGACCATTATAATCACAAAGCTCTATCTACATTGAAAGAGTTCACACACCCAACCTGCAAAAGAGCCCCAGCCTGGCTTACCTTCTGCTTCCCGAGGACTCCAGTGTCCCGATGGGCCGCAGGGCATCGGGGAGGAGGCGTTGAAGGCGTACTGAACCAGGAATCTCCCTTCCAGGCAAAGATCACATGCTGATCCCAATTCTCTAGGAGGCCAAGGAAAGAAGGAAACACACCGACTTAGGAAGGGTTGAATGAGTTCCTGACTCAACTGAGCCAAAGATGTAGGCGACAACACATCTGCTATCCTATCGTCCTTATTCTCCCTTGGGCTGTGAGGAGATCCAACCAGTCAATTCTAAAGGAAATCAACCCTGAATATTCGCTGGAAGGACTGGTGCTGAAGCTCCAATACTTTGGCCACCTGACTCGAAGAGCCGACTCATTGGAAAAGACCCTGATGCTGGGCAAGACTGAAGGCAAAAGAAGAAGGAGCCAGCAGAGAATTAGAAACTTAGATAGCATCACTGACTGCATGGGCATGAACTAAGCAAACTCCAGGAGAGAGTGGAGGACGGAGGAGCCTGACGAGCTACAGTCCATGAGGTCACAAAGAGTCGAACGCGACTTAGAGGCTAAACAACAATAATGAGTCCTCCCTATCTTTGTCAGAGCTTCCAGAATATGACTATAAGTGAAATTCCTCCCCACCACTCAGGAGGGCCTTTCTTGGGTCTAAGGGTCTTCTGTTCTGATGGTGGATACACCTAAATTTAAAGCAGCCCAGAATCGACAGGTCAAAGACTTACTACCCACACTATTTCTTCATCAGTCATTCAAAGTTCCACTGCAGATTTGATATGTGGTTGTGAGAAAACCTTTTACCCATTGGACCTCAAATTTTATTCTTTTAACAATCTCTGTCTGGTACCTACTATGTGCAGGAATTATCAGGATCCTAGGTGTTAAATAAGAAGATGGAATGGTTCAGTTCCTTCAGCTGAAAATGACTGGGCTGAACTAGACGGTGCTTAAAGAACCTTCTAGCTCTGACATTCAGGGGATAGATGAGTCACTCCTGGATTTTACAGTCAAAAGCAGTTTCCTTACCATGCCATCTAATTCACTTCAGCAGCTTTCCAAGGGGCAAGCCAATCCCTCAACGGGACAAACCCCAGCAGTGGAATATGACAGTGGCTTTCCCCACCAGCTAGTATCTTATGTGTCCTGGATTCAATCTCCCTTTAACCACAGCAGCCTTTGGGATCCTACTTGTTCTCCAGACGTGGCCCCTGTTCAGGAGAGAGCTGCTTGGAAGGGAGAGGGATAGCCCTTTTCTTCTGTACCAGGGTGAGCAAGCCCAAAACTCTGAAAATCTGAGCGACTTCTGCAGAGCAGCTGGAGAGGAAAAATATCAAGAAAGGTCATAGCCCAACCCATTATTTCTCAAAATGCAATGGTCCTGCCGAAATCTCCTTCCTAAAAGAACCACCATCCTCCAGCCACTGGAAAGACACAAGGGAGGGGCTGTATCTCAAGCCTTAGGGCTTCTGCTTCGCAGGGAAGCTCCACAGCCCCCAGCTCACGTGCTCGCTAACATCACAGTCTGCAGGTGGTCCTGGTCCTCCGCCACCCAGCTGCCAGGGAGCTCATCCCCAAACCTCCGTCGGAATACTTCATGCCTCTGCTCATCTGCCAATATGATGACCAACATGTATAATTTAATGGCTGGATGGATAGATGGATAAATACCAGTCACTCCAACATGTTGCTAAGACTCATGACTAACCTAGTGTAGACCCTCAAATTGCATATTCTGCATCATCAGCTTTATCATCATAAATATGAAATCATGCTGCTGCTGCTGCTAAGTCGCTTCAGTCGTGTCCGACTCTGTGCGACCCCATAGACGGCAGCCCTCTAGGCTCCTCTGTCCCTGGAATTCTCCAGGCAAGAACACTGGAGTGGGGTGCCATTGCCTTCTCCAATGAATGAAAGTGAAAAGTGAAGTTGCTCAGTCGTGCCTGACTCTTAGTGACCCCATGGACTGCAGCCCACCAGGCTCCTCCATCCATGGGATTTTCCAGGCAAGAGTACTGGAGTGGGGTGCCATTGCCTTCTCCGTATGAAATCATACATAGGTATAATTTTATAAGCACACTAATACTTAGTGATAGGAGAATGGTTGACCAGTCTAAGGTCAATGTGCTCAACGGAACAGTAAGCAGTTGTTACAAATATTCATAAAGTTCATTAAAATTTATGGAAAATATGTTATAATGTTAAGGGAAGAGTCATATTCAAAACTGTACTTTATAGCAGCATCTCGATGCTGTTCAAATAACTTAAGTGACAAAATACTACCAGCAATTATTCCTAGGTGGTGGAACTCCGGATGATTCCTCTCTCCCTACTTCCATTCCTTCTGGTCTTCTGAACTTTCTCTGTATTTTCAGCATGTATGAGGTGTTCCTGAACTAGCAATGATGATGATTAAACACATGTACTTGGAGGCATAGGATGAAGAGTAGACAGAGAGGTTCTCAGCACCGGTCTGGTTCCATTACAAGGACCACAATCCACGCACAGTAGCTCAGAGTCACAGGACTGGCTTTATGACGCAATGAGATTAGAAACATCCCTGGAGGAATCACGATCGCACCGTTCTTAATGGTAACTGAGCTTTCTACTCTAGATGCCTTGCTTTAGAGGAAACACATGTAGTCACCTGCACTTCACTGAGTTCTTGACAACTGTAGGTTCCCTATAAATACTTTGATGAACTAATAAACCGTCACCCACCTGACAGTACATGGGCCTTATTTACACGGAGTTCCACAAAGAGCGTTCCCTCATGCTCAATCATGGGTTAGCGTGTTCATTCAATATTTCACCTGTTCATTCACTGGACGCTCATTGAACAATCTCTGGTTGCTAGCACTGTGCAACGACCAGACATTAACCATCCACGGAGAGGAGATCTGATGTGGTACCTGCCCTCACAGACCCTGCAATCCAGCAGAGGCAAACAGGAAAGTAGTGTATATAAAGTACAGGTTGAATTACTGCTAGAAGGAAAGTTGATAGATGATGCAGGGGTTGTGCAGGGCTTAAGATGGGAGTGATGGTGGCAGACCTTAGTGCAGTATGGTGAAGAACGACACCAGGATTGGGAGCAGAGCTGCCCAGGTTCAGTCTAAAGGTGCGTAAAGGACCCAGGCGGGAGAAGAGGCCTCGGTCCACAGAGGTCCCGAAGGAGACTCGAGTGGCAAGAGTCACCAGTGAAAGAAAGAGCAGTGCGAGAGCCAGTGGGACAAGCAGGCAAGGACCACAGGATGGGAAGTTCTGCAGACTCCTTGCAGATTACACATGAAAGTAATGGGAAGTCACTGGAGGGTTATAACATGGGTGACATGATCTAATTCACATTTTTAAAAGATCAGCCTGAATGATGAATGAAGAATAAATTGGGAAAAGAAGAGCACAGGTAAAAGCAAAGTCAGGAAATAGAGAGCAAAGGTGTGATCCTGCATATGGTGGGTGATGTTCCCATTTTACAGATAAGGAAACTGAGGCTCATGGGTGCAGAGGAACCATACCAAGGTCAAAGCTCAGAAAGTCACAGAGTCAAAACAGACTTTACCAAAACCATGCCATATCCTACACATTCAGGCTAAGTAAAATGTGTTTCTAATCTTTGGCATTTATCTGATTTTAATGGACACCTGTACCTACACAGACAAAAATACACACACACACACACACACACACACACACACACTGAAATCATAGAAACACAGGATGCTAAAGTATGCTAACACTGGAAGAGATCACCTTTCTTACCCAGGGTCCGTGAGAATTAAAGTTTAAAGCTCCAAACCTGTGCTGTCTACTTCAGCTGCCCCTAGTAACATGTGGCTATTCAAATCTAAATGAATTAAAATTAACATAGAATTCATTTCAGTTCCTCAGTTACACTCATCACAGATCAACTGCTCCCTAGCCACAGTTGGCTTATGGCTACCACACTGGATATTACAGAACTGTTCTATTGGGCAGTGTTTCTCTAAGGTACCCACCATAAGGTGAAGGAATTAAGCTCTCTCCTAGGCATCTAGAATGGTACTAGTTATGTACTATCCTTAGGAGAATTGAGGAAATAGTTACTCAAGTCATTTTCCATGTTCTGAGACTTGGAAAAAGAACCTTGGTTGAGAAAGGCTAGATTCCCCTTTAGTTTACAGATCAGAAAACTGAGGTCTAAGAGGAAGAAGAAATCAATGAAGTTGCAAAGAGTTCACGTCTCTTGGTTCCCAGTCCAGCATTCTTTCTACTATATACCACAGCTCATTGTTCAGAAAACTGAAACCATCTAGTCAACACATGTTTGCAAGACAGATAAAAATAAAGGAGTTAAAAAAGCCAGGGGTGGCCTTGAATTATTTATTCAGTTGCCCATGTGTGAGGACCCAGGCGGTGGGAGGATCTGAGTATGTTTTTTTAAGGAAAACCCTTGTATTCTCTTAGCCCACAGATGTGAGGAACAGCAGGAGGACATGAGGATGGCCAGGGGCTAGAGGTTGGCATTGATGAATGTAGTGGAACACACCAGAGATTTTGCAGGGAAAGAGAATTTCAAGTAGCTCAACAGCTCTGCAAAACTTTGTACAAGATGGGAGCTAGTATTTCCTGAGCATAGAGTTGTGTGTGCTAGGCATATCACAGATGTCATCTTATTAAATTCCCCACAGAGGACAGGTGGAGTGGGTATGGTTAGCACTTTTTATGGGAGAAGACTCAAGAAGGCCAGAAAGGATCAGAGAGGTGAGACAATTTGCCCAAGGTCCCCTAGGCTGGGAGTGGTAAAGCTGAGACTGGAATACAGACCGCTTAACATCAAAGCTTGTGCACTTTGTACTAAGCCAATTTCCATGAGTATGAACTCCTTGTATATGGGAGACCGATAGATTCATTTCTTTTACAACAATTTATTGAACTTGCTGACCTACTTCCTTCTGTCATAGACTATAGTCTACATAGCTGTTAACCCTAATTAGATATGTTTCTAAAATGTCAGTTTTAATTTAACATATGATAACTCCATTATGAAATCTTAGACTGAACAGAATAGCTATTGTATAAGCCTCAAGTACCAACTGACTATAGGTTATTAAAAACATGCTGATTGAAGCTGAGGGCCCCATGTAATAGAGACATATCTCATTACACAACAATTAACCCTCCAATAGGTTTCCAACAATCAGATGGTATTTATTTAATGGACAATAACTGCTTTATGAAATACAAATTGAATACACACACAGGAAGCTTCATTTACAAAACTTCCATTTTTAAGTGGAATCGAGGCCAAGGCTTGACCAAAAGTCTGATACTTCTCATTGCCACAGAAAAAATAAATAAATCCACAGGCTGCTGGAAAGACTGCTCTGAAGTGTCATATGAGGTTTCCCAAACCCAGCTCTGAGCTCCCAGTGAGGGCAGCTGGGGCAGAGGAAGGGGGTGTCTACAGAGCGTCTAAGGAGTGCATTTCCTTTCTCCATGATCACATTCATCCAGCTGTCAAAAGAAGGTTCTAGATTCAAGGACTGATAGTACTGAAGGGAAATTGGAGCCCAAATTTAATTTTGATGCCATGATCTAATATGTTTTTATGCACACACACACATACTTGTGAGAGTTCCTTGCCACATTTTATGGCCTTTATGAAGGGGAGAGTAACACCTCCTTCATAATTCAAGGTTTGGAAAAACTTAATGAAAGAACATGCGAGCCTGAGATCAGACACTGCAAAATGTGAGTCCGAGCCTGGCTCCCACCACTTTCTGTGGGCTTTTGGCCTCATTGAACTCCAATCCCTTCCTCATCTGGCAAATGAAGAAGTTGATTCCCCTTTTACAGAAATTACCGAAGAGCTGAAATGAGACTCTGTACAGCAAGCATTTAGTACTGAATCCAGAGCAGAGTCAGCACTTGAGAAACAGCATGCACAACCATTGAGTAATATGAATTCATCATCAGCTGGTTATTATTTCCACCATCGTCAATATTGTATTATCATTACTGGATAAAACATTCCCAAGAAGGGCTGGGAGGGGGCAAAAATACTAATCCACACTAATTTATAGCCAAATTCCAGCCAAATTAAATGTCAACGTGTTAGTACATTTTCATGACCCTTTAAAATCCCCTAAAGTTTCAGCACCTTGGGGAGGCCCAATGTGGAAAGGCACCACAAGAAACGATTTCATTCATGTTTCCACCTTCAGAACACTGAGGCATCATTAGACCCACCTTTCAGTGGAGTATAAGACGGAGGGGGAGAAATTGACTTGCCCAAGGCCATACCGCTAGTAAGGGACTGACAGAAGCTTAACTAAGGCACCTTGTTCTTCTAAAAATTCTACCTTCAGTTCTATTAAACGACAAAGGCAAAGATTCTCATTATACAAAAATACATGTGTGTGTGTGTATACACACACACACACACACACACACACACACACATATATATATATACACACACATATACAGCGCATATATATATATATGCATGAGTACCCTTCATGTATAATGTACCCTTCTTATATTGTACTACGTGTATACAAAGGTGTTAGCTCATTACCCAGAGGCAGGTTAAACGCCCAAGCTCATGAGATGAGACCAGTACCTCCATCCCAGACAAGGTTCAGGCAACAGAAGTTTCCAGGTTTTTAACAATAAAATAAAGCTTAATATTCACCACATGAATTATGCATCATTACTCACTAATTTCTGTTAGCAATCATTTATGTACTCCCCGATCGCCAAATCTACAACATGTCTAAATGGAGCAGTTGCTGCGCTAGTGAGTCCTTGAGTGAGTCTTAGTCCCTTACTCGGGTTCAACTCTGTGCGACCCCAGGGACTGTAGGCCCACCAGGCAGGTTCCTCTGACCATGGGATTCTCCAGGCAAGAATACTGGAGTGGGTTGCCATGTCCTTCTCCAGGGGATCCTCCCGACCCAGGGATCGAACCCAGGTCTCCTGCATTGCGGGCAGATTCTTTACCATCTGGGCACTTGTGGGCACTTGTTAAACAAGATCAACAATAAAAGACACAGCAAAATCCCTCTCCAAGGTTGCTTCCCTTCCAAATTTCCCTCTTCTTGGCAGAAGAGAGAGAGAGGGATCAACACTTAGCAGGCCACACTCACCTTTCAAAGACGTGGCCGTCGATGGGAGGGAACCACTCCAGCATCACAGAGTCGGCCGTGTGGCTCACGACCTGGGGGGCGAGGGCGATGGGCGCCGGCTTCCTGGAGGGCTGCCAGCCCTGGTACACCAGGTCCAGGTAACAGTGCATCCTGGCGACCTGATTGGGCGTGAAAGAGTCCGTGCAGTCGTCATCTGCAAGCAGGCAGAGGGAGAGATAAGCACCTCGTTGCACGGACAGACAGGCAAGAGAATGATGATGCCTCCCGGGCGGCCCGGAAGCCAGCACCCGGCCCCTGCCAGCTCGGAGCCGGCCTCTTCCAGTGCTCAGGAGTTAATGGTCTGTGAACAAATTAGTGCGGTCATCACTTCTGCAGACAGGTGAGAGGGAGCATTAGGAGCGGGAGAGTGGAGGGGACTGAAAAGGCACGTCTGAGCCTGGAGCAGGAGGTCACGGGTAAGGACAAGGGCAAGAAGAGCTGCTTTCCACGGGCCCCCATCCACCGGTCAGTAAGTTACACAGCCCCTCACGCCTCCCTCTCCAGCCAACCAGTCAATATCTCTCACTCATCCACTCGTGTCCTGTCTAGTTGCTCACTCATTCTTTCACATGCTTACTTGTTCCTTCACTCCCACCTTCACATTTGTTCATCGGCTCATTCATTAATTCCGCTCCTTACTAATGCAGCAATGCCGCCTTCCAAACCAGCCTTCAGAGCATTGCTTCTACACACTCTGCTCTAAGCCAAGGGCGATGGAAACCTACAACACTCCTGCCGTTGGGGAGCTACCAGTCTAGCTATAGAGCAAAGGTCAGTTTGCTGCGTGGCTCAAGGTGGTTATAAGGCTGTTCAAGTCTGTGACGCCAGTCCCTGACGACAAGGAGATGGTGTGGCGAGGAAGACAGATAAACTGGAGAGGCTTCTAGGGGAAGTCCTGGAGGTCAACCAGGTTACACCGTTAAGACTGGGGAAGAAGACGAGGGATGGCAGAAGGGGCCGCTCAGGACCACAGAAGCGATGAGCCCTGGGCAGTGAGCACAGGGAAACTCGGAAGGAGTCCAGGCTCGGCGCCCAGGCTTCGGTGTCCACGGCAGGAATGCAAGGACCTTCTGCACAGTGCTGTCACTGGGACACGGACTGTGGGCTTAGCACATGCTTCGTACACGGGATACTGTGCTTTGGGCATGTGTAACTCTCCCATTAGTTTTGGAGTAAATACTCTGATCACTCCATTTCACAGAAGAGGAAGCTGAGGCTGAGAGAGGTCTCACTACCTTTTTTTTTTTTTCATTTATTTATCTCACTACTTTTTAAAGATCACAGAGCTAGATGCGGGTCTGAGATGTGAACCCAGGCAGTCTTGACTTCAAGGCCACGTTTCTAATCAATATGAGAACTTTTTTCTGAGTGTCCATGAGACTTGTATGAACAAAGTGTCCCGCAGGTGTTTGATAAACAGGAGTTGAGCCTGAATCAGAGGGGACTGGAATACAATCTCATCTCTGAATGTCTTTAGATCTAATGACCTTCAGCTCTACCCTGTTTTCTAGGATGTGGAATGAAGGCCACGACCCGAGACTCTTCCCTGCCAAGGAGGAAGCTTGCCTCCCGTCTCTCCCTCCAACAGCTTTACTCAGCTGCCCCAGGGGCAGATCAAGGCACTGTTTTGGCTTGGTTTCCAAAAACACCACTTCCCAGAGGTGTCCGCCTGGCCAGGGATTCTGCAGCTGGGCCCCAGACGGAGGAGAACGGGGCTCGCCAGATCTTAAAATAAACCCACCATGGGAATTCCGCAGCATAAACTCACTTTCTCTTATCAAACAAACAGAAAATAAGTTTGGGCAGGTGCTGGGCAGTTGGACATGACCTTGAGAATCCAGCTTGGGGAAGGGATAGGAGTGTGAGGAGGTTATACACAGAAGCTGCCTCTGATCCCCTTAGCAATTTTTGACGGTCTCCTTGCCAACACCCTGGGGAAGACTTTTATACATTTGGAAGCAGAAGAAGAGTCCCGAGTCCTTTGGAGAACACCACCGAAGAATGACTAGTTGCACAAACCACTCTCAAGCTCAGGTACCTCCATGTAACTCCTTGGATACAAAACATGCTACGGGTTGCTTTTGCCTGGAAAATAAGAATCCAAATGCCCCCAATGGTCTAAGAAGGACTGGATGGTCTGGTACATTTTCCTTTGTTACCATGGACTTTGTACTTCATCCCGAAAGCTTTGGAAAAGCCACTAAATAGGTTAAAAGCAGGAGAAGGGCATGCTGGCTAAAGAAGTAAGGGTTATGCAGTTAGATTCATGTGTGGATGATCTGGAGTCAAATGATTTGTGAATGATCTGGAGTCACTGTGCCTCGGTTTCCCCACCTGTAAAGTGGAGATACTGATGATAACAAGAGTGCTGGTGTCAGAATGCTGCTGACGGTCACGGAAAGTAGCATCAAGAGGCGCCATCAATGCTCAGCGAATGCTCACTGCCTCGGGACCTGGGATAGAGCAGGCACCTCTGTGTGCGTGCATGCCTGTGTGCACGTGGACACTAATGTGGGTGAGTGTTAGGAAACTAGAAGCAGGAAAAAAACCAGAATGTAAAATAGTCATTCTCTTTGATTTTGCAACATTGCATTTAGGAATTCGACAGATTGCTACTCATGAACAAACATGAGGGAAATCATATATACAAGGACATCTTTTGAAATATCATTTACATAGAAAAAAACGCTAGAAATAACACATCTGTCTATTAATAGGGGGAGGACTCTGTACATTAAGGCGCATGCACAGAACAGAATTCTAATCAGTCATTTCCCAAACAAGGAAGTAACTCTAAAACTCAGGCCCCTTGTGTGTAAGTTGGGGACATTTAAATCAACCCCACAACCTAGAGTGATGGTGTGGCTTCCATGAGCTGGAGCACACATAGCATTTATCTAGATGAATGAGAGAGAAAAACAACAATTTGCTTTCCTCTCTATATTCTGATTTGTTTGGTTTTTTCCTCCAAAGGAGTTACTTTCCTTTTATAACTTAAAAATTAGCCATTTCCATGTCTGCCAATTTAAAAGTTTGCAAAATGGGTAGGTGACAGAAGCTGGTAGGAGGACAGAACTGTACCTGAACTTTAAAACTGAAGTCAGAAAACATTCCTCCCAGAGCTAGATCACTTAGAGACTGAACCGCTGCCAGAATCTTGGGTGAGGTACCAAAGGTTTTCTGTCGATCATAAAGGCTCTGCCCCAATTAGCTGACGTTTCGAGTTGGCCCCTCTTAGCTCCTGCCTCCACAGGCTTCCCGTCCTGACACCTGTGACCCCTTCATCCTGCTCTCTAGGACCATCCAACCGATCCCATTCTTCTGTCCCCATGCTATCTCCAACCAGAGGGGACATGGGGGACTTCAGTATTCTGGGAGGCTACACCAGTCCCCAGGCTGTGGATGTTATGCTGCGAGTTTGCAATTTAAACTTTGTTCTCAAGAACAATTTCCACCTGCAGATGGAAGGCCGCACAGCAGGGAGGTTCAGGGCCTCCGCTTCCTGTGGAGCCTCAGACACAGTGCTGATCCCTGACAGCCTTGCTTCCACCCACTGTGAAACAGGGACTCAGGATGCTACCTGCCTTCTACAGCCAAGGAAAGCATGCAACGAGCTCACCCATTTCTAGTGCATGAATAACTGATGGCTTTGTTGTTTTAAAAACAATGATAATAACAGTAACAGCAGCAGATGATTATATCCACTGCAGAACACTTGGTATGTGCCAAGCATGTTACAAAGAAATAAACATCAACCTAAATACACTAAAAAAAATCTAGTGTATATGTATGTGTAGACGGATATGAATATTTATAGTGGATTTCTGTGATTCTTTTCATCACAAACATCATATGTATGTACATATACACATACACACAAACATACACATATTTGTGATGAGATATGATACATGTGCCAGGCCTTATACTGTACATTAAGTTCTGCAGTGTTTTCACAATCAACAAATAATCCTGCTAATCATCACTTACTGAGCGCTAGTTTTGGTACCAAGGACAGTTCTAAGTCCTTCACCTGTATGACTGGCATGCAAGGTGAGGGTGATTGTCCCCCATGTGCCAGTGAAGTAACAGGCTTAGACAGAAGTGACTTGCCTAAGGTCAAAGTCAAAGGCTACCACGCAGAGGATTCAAGTTGGTTCTCACACTCTAGACTTCATGCTCTGAACCACTATGTTCCTATCAACCGTCTGCTACATCATCTTTAGTGATCACAGGATGTTCTGTCATGTGAATGCCTTGTGATTTATTTCAACAACCCATTCTCTTTGGATTTGTAAGACGCTTCTAATTTTTCACACGTGTAAGCATTTCTCTTCTATGCCTATTACACACTTCAGTTAGTAAATGTCTAATTAATATGTGGAGGAAAAAACATTGCTAAAAACATTTTTCGGATGAAATCTTTAAACACATTAACAGATTTATTTCTTTAAGACATACTTCTTAGAGGTGGGGCTGCCGTGTCAAAGCTTATGTGCATATTAAAAGGAACACACAGAACAGCAGTGACAAGACACTTGCTCCCATAGCTGCGGAAGGCCTGGTTTCTGCACTCTTGAGGAAGCTGGGCTTGGAGGCCCTCTTAGTGGGTACCTTATGGCATACTGTCTTCAGGAAATAAGAGTCTGAACTGCCCTCTTTCTATCTGACTGAGGATTAGCCAACAGCTCAACGTGACCGCACTCACCTGGTGCTTGACTAGGCTTGTCCCTAGCACCTGCCTGGTGTCTGCTTAATCTGAGCAGTTGGGACACTCTCAAACTCCTCCAGTGTCAGAAAGGGAGCCAGATAATTGTTGCTTAAATGCAGGCTCTGCCAAAAAAGGCATGCCTTGTTTTTGCCGTGTGACCCTGGGAACGTGACAAGTTCCCTAAGCCATACTTTCTCCATCTGTAAAGTGGGTACAGTAGTAATAGCACTTATCCCATTGGGCTATTTAGACCTTTCAATGAGACAAGCCTATGGAGCGTTGCCCACAGTGTCTGGTATGTTGTAGACACTTCGTAGTTTCTGCAGACTTGCCACTAGCCATGTTCAATTCATTACAGTCTTAGGACTAACAATTAATTCAGGTCCTCAGCTTCACTCTCCTTGCTCAATAGCCACAAATGGCTGATGGCTACCATGCAGGTCAACACAAACACAAAACACACCCATCTTCTGCAAAAAGCCAGAGCACTTGAAGGGAAGGAACTCTAAGCAGCTGACCCAGCAAGGTCTCTACCCTCTTTTCGTGACTGCAAAGCCCCTGTGTGTCCCTCTCCCCAGCCCTGAGAACCCGATCCTGGTCTGCATTTTGAATTTCATCCAGCTGCTTTTGTCACCTCATCTATCAGAGATCCTAAGAAAAACAAACATTTCAAAGCTCGTGGTCGCCTTGAATATGCTCTTGCGGGTGTAAGTTTGTTATCGTAGCTCAGTGAATTAGTTCTGCCGTTAATGGGTCACTGAGCTGAGGGGTTCCTTTAAAAAAGCAACATTAAATCAATCACCCTTTAGATCTGTACAAAGGGGAACAACCACACAAAAAAGATTTAGTTTATGGGGGTCCGGTAGAGAGTGGCAGCTCCTGGCCCCTAAGAGGCCGGCAAACTTCCAAACTCATGTTATTGTTTATTTTCCATGCGCGCGGAGCTGGCCAAGGCAAGGTGCTGTAGAAATGGAACTTAGGCAGGGCTCTGGGAGGGGACGGGACACCGGATGCGGATGCCGGGTCGGCTGGGAATGGGAGCATGGCAGAAATCTGCTTTTGAGGAAATTCCTAGCACTAGGGTCTTTTTTAGAGACCCCAAGCTAGGGGCTGTTTATGGCGCCAAGGGTGGGTGCTGACCATTCAAGAGACCTCGAGCGTGAACTGTATGAACCTTAAGCTGGAGATGCCCCCGGAGGTCATTCAGTCCAAATAGGAAGCTGGGAAGACCCACAGGCAGTCATGGAACCCACTGGATTTCAGGAGGGACAGCCTCTCTTCGAATGCAATCTGAGGCAAAACACCATCAGAAACGGAAACTGCTAGAAGTGGGCTCCCCTGGTTTAAGCAGAGATGGAGGCCCAGGGTCACACAGCCACTCAGAGTGCCCCCACCTCCCTGACAATGATCTCTCTGGCACAGACTCGAAAACCACCCAAATCACTCACTATCCCATCCAGCCATCAGCTAGGTCTCATTGGAAGAGTGGCGTGAGAGCAAAAGGCAAAAAATGGCCACCTGTGAAATGGGGGTGGTTCCAGCCCCATAGGCTCGTTGAGAGAATTAAACAAGATTGCACACATTAAAGTCCTTTATGAACAATAACCTTTTAATTTTTTTTTTTAAACCTTTGGGCTGTGCTGCATGGTATGTGGGATCTGAGTTTCCTGGCCAGGAATCGAACCCACATCTCCTGCATTGGCAGCATGGAGTCTTAACCACTGGACCATCAGGGAAGTCCCATGAAGAGTAAACTTTTACATAAGTAGAAATATTGCTATACAAATCAACTTTATATACCTGTTGTTGGAGAATTTATTCATATTCCTCCCTACTTGCCTTTCTCCTTCCCTTTCTCCCTCCTTCCTCCCTTTCTTCTTAGCAAACATTTTTTAAAAACACAAGGGGTGTGCTAGGTGTAGAGGGTACAGTGATGTCTTAGAGACAATCGCTGCCTTCATAGAGCTCACTTGCTTTGGTGGTAGAAAGAAACACCTAAATTGAATATTGTAATAGATCTGGATGCTCAGCTAACTCATACAAGCATCTGGTGCTTTACTCAAAGTCTCTTGGCCTAGGGGTAAGGCTGCGACTGTCCTAAGAAAGGGGTATCTCGTTCGTTCTTTTTAAGATTTTTTTTTTAATGCGGACCATTTTGAAAGTCTTTACTGAATTTGTTACAATATTGCTTTTATGTTTTTTGGTTTTCCTGGCCCTGAGGCATATGGGATGTTAGCTCCCCAACCAGGGATTGAACCTGCACGCCCTGCATTGGAAGCTGAAATCTTAACCACTGGACTACCAGGGAAGTCCCAGGATAGCTTGTTCTAATTTTCCAAAGATGTTATAAGGACTAGAGCTGATCTTGATATACACTAAAAGGAACTGTAGGGGATCTTGGAATGTAAAGAATGAGTTATTAACACTGTTATCGATACTATTAAAAAGGACTCTGAGCGGGTATATGCAGTGAGGGAAAAAACAAACCCATCTCACGTAATAATTTCATTATTTGTAAAACCAAAAGAATTCTACTTTACTGTAATAAAACAGTAAAAGAGCATGTGAAAATTTTGTGTTTTTTTTTTTTTTTAACTTTCAGCAACCACCAGCTTAGAAAACTATAGCTGCAAAAGTAGGAGAAACCTCAGAGATCAATTCCAGAGTTTCCATTTTCTTGAGAAAAGTGGGACCCAGAGATGGGAAGTGACGGACGCCAAGGCGGCAGGTGACTTAGCAGCAGAACCTGACCTTCTACTCAGGTTTGCTGACTTTTAGTCCTGGTCAGCTTCCTAAAGTATCTTTCTTAGATACAACATCTTCCTTGCATCCCTGAGGTACTCATGGAAGGCACAGGTACTCGATTATTTGGGATGAGGACTTGTTGGGATGAAGAGGCTTAGGAAAGACAGGCAGCCTGCTTGAGCCAGGCTGGGAGGCCACATCTGACACTCTGGCACTCTGGTGCAGGGTGTGGGCCTGCAGAGTGTGGGCCTTACCTGCGTAGCTCATGAAGTTGTTATATGGAGTGTTGAAGAAGCTGTTGAAGCCACACGTGTCGTTCCCTGGCCCCGGGTCACCGCAGAACTTGTGTTTCGGAGCTGGGTTGGTGTCACTGCAGAGGTCTCCAGTCTCATAGGAGGGCTCTGTCTCCATGCAGGGGTCGCTGCAAGACTGGATTTCCGAGATGCCTCGGAAGATGTGGTAGAGGCCCAGGCTGTGCCCAATCTCATGGATCATGGTGTGGGTGTGCCCAGGGATGCCGTAGAAAGATGGATTCAAGACGATGCCGCCTGCCAGGGGGAAGTCAGAGTGTTAGGCGAACTGGGCACCCTGCTTCCTGCTGCAGGAGTCCCCAGATCCCTCAAGGGGAAACGGGGCACGGCCCAAAGTAACCACAGTCTCCTCCACCCTATGACTCCACGGCTGAGAGCCGTTCTGACTTGTGGCATGAATCACTGATGGAGTAGGAAGAAGTCTCAAAGTCATTTTGTGCAATCCCTTCATTTTTCAGTTGAAAACACCGACGCCTGAAGAAGCAAGGCAACTTACTCAAGAGGATTTCAAACTACTTAGAAGTAGTGGCATGATTATAATTTGAGGACTTTGATTTCTGGACTGGCAAAGATTTCAGCTGCAACTTCTTAGGAAGTAAGGCATGCCCCAGTTTATGAATATTCTACACAAATTGTTTAAATGAAACTCTCAAGCCCTGACACCTTGGTTCCAGCTCTCATGTTGCCTTCACTAATGTTGTGAAGTTGAACAAGTTGATTGCCATCTCTGAATCCCATTTTTGAAGCTCTGTACCCTACGAGAGCGCGTGTTCATAATGGCCAGCACTGTGGCGTGTTCACCATTGTAACACTGATAACAGTCAGTGTTTCCTGAGCATTTACTAGGTATTTTCAGGCCTTGTGTTCAGTGTTGCATGTGTGTAAGCACACTTAATCATCTCACAACCCCACGCGAGGGACACTGACTCACAGAGAGGTGAAATAATCGGCCCATGATTGAATTAGTAAGTGGGGAGTTCTGATCTGAACCCAAGATCCTTGGGTTCCAAAGTCAGGGGTCTTAATCAGTTCTGCTGCTAATGCCCACCACAGGCGCAGAGTGTGGCATCTCATTAAGTAAATGTTGAATGCCATTAAGTAGCTGCTGAATGCCAACCCAGTGTGAGGTTGTGAGGCCTAAGTAATTGCGTGTAAGTAGCCAGCATAGCACCTTACACACAGCAAGTGCCTTGTTTACTGTCTAGCCACTTGCTACCCCAAGTGCACCCCAAGAACGAGCAGCATCAGCTTCACCTGGAGGGGATCAAAAATGTAGACTCTTAGGCCCCACCCCAGACCTACAGAATCAAAATATTAAGTCTTTTACCAACAGCCCCAGATGACTTGCCTGTATGTTCTAGTTTGAGAAGCAATAAGGCACCCCACATGTCTTAAAAGAATGATCGTTCCTTCCCTTGGGCAGATAGATGGATCAGACCTCAGGGAAACCAATGGATGGCATGGTTCTGTGTTTGTTTTTAGCTACTGGAGAAAGACATACAGGTTGGCAGATAGATATTTCAGCTGGAAAATCCAAGTGTGTTTAAGGGAAGGTTAAGCTTCAAGTCCGAGGACAGAGGGACGGATAAAGAAGATGTGGCACATATTTACAACGGAATACTATTCAGCCACTAAAAAGAATGAAATAATGCCATTGGCAGCAACATGGATGGGCCTAGAGATTGTCTTATTGAGTGAAGTAAGTCAGGCAGAAATGGAGAAATATTGTACAACAGCCTTTATATGTGGAATCTAAAAGGAAATGATACAAAATGAACTTAGAAAACAGAAAGAGACTCACGGACTTAAGAGAATGTACACATGGTTGCTGGGGGAAAGGACTAGTTAGGGAGTTTGGGATGGTCATGTACATACGGCTATATTCCAAATGGATAACCAACAAGGACCTACTGAATAGCACAGGCAACTCTGCTCAATGTTATGCGACAGTCTAGATGGGAGGGGAGAATGGCTATCAGGATATGCATGGCTGAGTCTCTTCGTTGTTCACCTGAACCCATCACAACATTGTTAATCAGCTATATCCCCCAAACAAAATAAAAAGTTTAAAAAAAAAAAAAAGGAAAAGCTTCACATCTGAGCAATTAAGTGCAGAGCAGCACAGTACAGGAGAATGGTGAGGAGGGAGGCCCTTGCTATTCTCTGCTGACAAGCCTGGAGCAGGCGTGGGGGGAGTTTTATCTCAGACTGAACTGCTGGGAGGGCGAGCTTGCTCAGTCATGGGGCTCACGGAGTCGATTAATTCTGAGCTGCTCAGAGCCTTCCAGCACAAAGATAAAGATGTACGAGGGGGTGTGTGTGCTTGCACGTGTATATGTGAGAAGCGGCAGGCAGAGGCAGGGAGGAAGAGAAATTGAGACAGGAAATCTCTCTCAATTATTTTCTGTCAATCATAATATGAAACATAATCCCCTTCCCACCCAAGGCTTTTTCCAGGGATCATGGTGTAACAGCAGGAAAAGAGGGTGTGTATATATGATTCTAATAAATTGGGTTTGATTGGGCCTACTGCAGAGGAACTGCTCAGGATCAGCATGTCTCAGGACGGAGAGGTGGCAGCCTGGGAGGCCGGCTGGAGTTAGCCTGACATGGGTTGCAACCTTCATTCTGTTTCGCAATGGCTGTGTGATCTTGAGAAAGTAACTTTGCACCTCTGGTATGTTCTGAAATAAGCAACAGCAGCAGCACCAGAACACCAAAGATTCTCAGTCTCTCTGTGAAGCTGTAATATCGAGGTCAATGGAGAACGAAGGGGTGGGGGTGTTGCTGGCAGGACCCCACAGGTGTTTCCAGGGGATAATGATAGGATTACAGGCTCGATGTCCAGGCTGGGTCTCCCAGGTTCCCCTCTTCACAGAGCAACAGCACAGAGCTTGAGTCCTGTTTCACTGCTTCTCTTAAAAGGTGAAATAGCTTGAGGCTGACATCATCCTGAAATACTATAACATGCTATGGATTTATAGCCTTCTGTATTCCTGGTCCTCAGCCAGTCTCTGAAATTCATGGAATTATCAGGAGTATTTCTCTCTCACTGTAGAAACTTGCTGCTCAACCCTTCTAAGCCTCTAATCATGACCCTTTTGGTTGATTTTTCAAAAGGAGAGAATTTCAGTCCTGAGAAGGGTCTTCAGGGGCCCTCTAGTCTAACTTACTCACTTAAAATCTGAAGACATTGAGACCTGGAGAAGGAAAGAGACTTGCCTAAGGCCATCCTGTGAAGTGAAGTCACAGCTGAGAACAAGCCTGTATGTTGGCTTTGAGCCAGCAAGATTCCCATACATCATGTAGGCATGTGATATGAGCTAATCAGCTTCAGCTTGCCTAAGCTGCACACTCTCTTTCACCCAGCCCCTGTCTGTCTATCCATCCATCATCTATCTCATGGTTTCTCAACAGCAGTACTGCTGGTATTCAAGGCCTGGTAACTCTTTATCGTGGGCATCACAGGGGATCCAGCAACATCGCTGGCCTCGACCCACTCGATACCAATAGCACTCCCCCATTTGTGAAATCCAAAAACTTCACTCGACCTTGTCAAATGTCTCCCAGGGCATGAACATCCCGCAGCTGAGAACGGCCAGCTATTTATTGCTGTCTCCATCTCTACACAACCACACATGTGTGTGTATGCACACACATACACACGGACATACAAACTGATTTCACTCTCTTAAAAACAACTAGCAGCAGATAGTGCACTGGAGCGAACTAAGTCTAGAAGTTGACTCAACACAACTTTATTGTTTGAAGTTGCAAAGCCCCTCAGATTTAGAGCAGCTACTGGACTCCGGCTGTATCACTGGAAAATCGGACAGGCCTGAGGAAAGATCCAGCACTAACACTCTGCTGAGTCTTGACATTCTCCGAAAAAGGTGCCCATTGAGTCATTACTATTCACTGGTGTAAATAATAGGAACATTCTGACACAGGCAAAAGAGCTAGATAAACTGGAGTGCCCTCACTAAATGGCATATTGTTGGTATTTGGTCACTAGGTTGTGTCTGACTCTTTTGCAACCCCATGGACTACATAGCCTGCCAGGCTCCTCTGTCCATGGGATTTCCCAGGCAAGAATACTGGAGTGGGTTGCCATTTCTTTCTTCAGGGGATCTTCCTGAGCCAGGGATCAAGGCTCTCTCTCCTGCTTTGGCAGGCAGATTCTTCACCACTGAGCCGCCGGGGACACCCCCAATAGCATTTTACACGGCCATTAAAAATCCTGGTCTTTAGAAAACTGGACATAACTCAGAGAGAGGCTTCTCTCTTGTGATGTTAAGTGAAAAAACAAACAAACAACAGCTGGATAAGGAGTAACTTTGAAGATTGTTGCAACATGGGAAAATGTAGATGGCATAATATTAAGTGGAAAAAAAAAGAACACAAATTCACATCTATGCTATGATTTCAGATACGCACAAGTTAAGAAATGCATATCTACATACAGATGCGTACTGGTAGAGAACATGGAAAAGCTGAAATTAAAGGACAACAGTGTTTGCTTACAGGGCCGGGTTCAGAAACCATCGTCATTTCTGACTTTTTGTGATTGGCTTGTGTAAACACGCGTCTTGTTTACAGATGCGCATAATGTGAATGTAAGAAGAATTCCTGGTGGTGCTGGTGGATGGAACATGGAGGAACAGGCAGTTCTTGCAAACTCTTTGTTTCCTCCTTTCAAGCCAACCCATCGCAGGCTGGCCCAGCACAAAGCTGTTATTAGGCTGAGAAGACACTTGCATGAATGAAGAGGCAGGGGGTATACAGAGAAAGCAATCAGTGAACAGAGTCGGAAACCTAAATTCCAATTGTGGTTCTGCCCCTGATTTGGGTGTGACCTTAGATAAGCCCCCTTTGCTCTCCAGATCTTAGTTCCTCCACTGGTAGAACAGAATAAATTGTACTGGGTTATTGTTCAGAGCGTCAGTTGATGGCTGACAGATAAGGAATGCTCAAGAGTTTTGCAATATCAAAACAGATCAATAACTAAGTTGTTCACCGTCATTACCACCACGATCACCATCAGAACTGTGACCCCCATCATCATCCTCACTAATCAGTGTATGCCTGTACCAATCCAACTTCTTCCTGAAGAAGTTTCCAGTTCTCACCTAAGTGCATCAGGGCCTCCTTGTCCCATGGCCAAGTTGCTACTCCTGCCAATTCCTCCTCCGAGGAGTTTGCAAAGAAGATGTTGAGGTGTGTCGATCCATCCAGTCTAAGAATGTTCTTCATCTCATTAACATCCACGTACGCTCTGTAAGAGAAAAAGAACCTTGGCTGTCATCATCATCCAAAAAAAAGGTACTATTCAAATAACAGGTACTCCCAGATTAACTGAGTCATACCATGTGCCAGGCACCTGGCTAAACACTTTATAAACACGACCTCATTGGCTTCCCCCAATAATATGATACAGTAGGTGAGGGGATCCCATGGTATAAAAAAACAAACAAAAAAATGTCCCTGTGAGTTTGAGAAACTTGAAGTTTTCTCAGCTTATCAACGATAGCAGTGTTCAGTTTAGAACCTCAGTCAATCTAAAGGCAACAACTGTGTCCCTAGGGACTCTGCTATATTGACTGATGACAGGGCAACATAATACGGACATAGATCGAGAACGGACCATGGAAGAGATAACACATATTATAATCCTGGCTTCTTCTCTACTTCATTCACTATGGACCTTGGACCATTTATTAGGCAAACACAAGCTACACTGGGAGGCCTGCTTTGCATCTCTATTCCCATCTTGCAAGGGGGTGTTATTATTCTGTTCTCAAGATAAGCAACATGTGGTCCAAAGTGATTAAACAGGTTGCCCAGAGTTGCAGAACTTGGTTTCAAGGTCAATTCTGTCTGGCTTGGAAACATATGTTCCTTTCACTGGGGCACTATCTACCTCCCATAGATGATTCTGCACTCTGTAAGCCTTTATTACTTTGTCCATAAAATAGGCCAAGGTATATAACACATTGGAGGCAGTCATCAGTGCAGAAACCTAGAATATATACTGATGCATTTGGAAAGTGAATTATTTCAGCACACTGTCATCATTAGCTCTTTAACACACCAAACAAGCATGTCAGACAGAGAAAGAAATGGCCTTGAGAAAGAGACTGGCATATCCCAGGTGCTCAATAAATAAGAACATTTCCCTTGTGGAGTACGACTCTCCCTTCAGAACAGGAATTATAAAGCTTTGGTCCAGTCACAGACTCAATGGATCACAGAGAGAGTTATCTTACCCACCGTCACGCTTCTTTCAGGTGGCGCTAGAGGTAAAGAACGCGCCTGCAATGCAGGAGATGCAGGTTCGATCCCTGGGTCAGGAAGATCCCCTGCAGAAGGGCATGGCTACCGACTCCAGTATCCTTGCCTGGGGAATACTAGAGCCTGGAGGGCTGCAGTCCATGGAGTCGCAAAGAGTTGGATATGACTGAAGTGAGTTAGCATGCATATGCACATGTTCTCTCTTAGGATCCTTGTGAACAGCCAATAAGCATTTTTGGAGTAAAGTTAGAAATGAATCAATGAACAAAAACATATAGAAATAAGCAAGCAGGCAGCCTGGTGTAGTAGGTGAGATAAAGCCTGTGAATAATGATCTTTAGTGGTTCAGATGGTAAAGAATCTGCCTGCAATTTGGGAGACCCAGGTTCAATCCCTGGGTTGGGAAGATCATCTGGAGAAGGGAATGGCACCCCACTTCAATATGCCTGCCTGGAGAATCCCATGGACAGAGGAGCCTGGTGGGCTATTGCCCATGGGTCACAAAGAGTTGGGCATGACCGAGAGACTGACAGTGATCTTTAATGTTCGCTGGGCCCTTCTCTGCAGTCTTGACACTACATGGATAATCACCTTTAATCTTCATTACACTGAGGTAGGTGGTATTGTTATCCCCATTTTCCAGAAGAGGAAAAAGAGGCTCACATAACTTCAGATGTTGCTTGGGTCACACAGCTAGCTGGAATTGTTTCCCTTTCTCACCATGCTGCCTCTCAAGGGTGGGGGTGGGGGGGCTGGCACAGAGCCTGGCCAGCTAAACACTAACGATGCCAACCTTCTCGTTTCTTCCTGGAGTCATGGAAGAAGCTCCCCACATGTGAAGCAGTAAAGTCAGAGGTCCCCAGTGGGGCCTGTAGGACCCTGGCTTCCCCTTTAGCCTCGTATTACTGTTCCCTCCCCTGAATTTCCCAGTGTGTTGTCAGCAACATCTGCCTCCCCCATTCCCCCCATCATGCATCATCCTCAGATCCTTCAGTCATGCTGTTCCTCTCAAGGACTTAGCTCCTCTGATGAACAAATCCAACGTCTGTGCTGGTATCACTCCTCCAGGAAGCCTTCCCCGATTCCCACCTCACCTCTATCTCTTCTACCGTCTCTGCACCCCTCTACCTCCTATGAGCACGCGCATTCACACCACTCCAAATACTCCACTGGTCTGTATCTACCACTGTCTGTGGCTCCCTGGGGGCAGGGAATGTGCCTAATTCATCTCTGTTTATCACCCACTTCTCAGCACAGGGCTTGACCCTTGGCAAGCACTCAGGAGATCTGGATGGAGGAGAAAAACATTGGGAAAGAGAAAATCTAAAACATTTAGGCCCCAGTCTCAGCTGCAGCTTCCTTCCAATGAGGCTCCAACTTCCTTATCAATACACTGGTGTTAGGAGCAGATGCCCAGTGCTTCATGGGGCATTTCTGTGGGTCACGAACCTGTACCTCCACTCTGGGGGGAAGAGAATATGTCTGAAACCTACAGTGCCCTCCTGGCCCCCCATGTGATCAAGAGCCCATGATTAGTCATGGGACCATAATTTTTCCAGCTTTTCAATTACAAAAAAAAAGCTGCACATGTGCTGGAGATACAGGCAGGGTCTACAGAGGCCACACCTGTGTCGAGGCTGAGCTGACTAGGAATTCCGGGGAGAGAGGCTGAGATGATGGCCCGAAATCTCACTGCTGCACCTCTGCTCCACTCAGCTTCTGAGACGAGAAGCCTCATGAGGAGTTTGAATGAGTCTTCTCAGTGATCCGAGTAGAAATGAGGAAGCATAAGGACAACACATGGTAAGTTCTCACTGTATGCCAGCCCCTGTCCTAGCTACACCTGTTGTCTCACTTCTGTGCAGAATTTGAAGCCACACGGCAGAGCAAGGAAGATGACCTGTTCTCAAGCCAAAGTCCCGGGTTTGAATCCAGCTCTTCCCCTGGATGTTTGGGTCCCCCTGGGTTATTTATTTAACTTCCTGTGTCCCTGTCTCTTTATACAGAAGATAAAGATGCTAACAGTATCCACCTCATCGAGTCGTTCTGAGGATCTGGGACATTAATAAAAGAAGTGTAAAGGGCTTAGAATAATACCTCGCACACAGAAACCCTGGGTAAATGTTTAGCCATTCCTGGTATTCATCCCGGTCCTACAGATGAAGGAACAGGGGTTCAGAGATCACATAAACACTGACAAGGCCAAGTCCAAATCTCCATGTGTCCAACTCTTCCCTCAACCTCACCCTCAAACCCGAGCTCTCTCAGGACCACAGGGAAAGGAAACAAGTGGGAGCGGAATGAAAACACCGAGATGCTGAGGTTTCCCTGGATCGGCCCTTCCCACACTATTTATTATTTTCTAATTGATTTGTCCATTTCCATCTAGCGCTCTCTCGGGCAGAGAACACACATGTTATTAGAGAAAGTCACCTCTTTGTTCCAGCGCTCCAGGCTGAGAAAGCTTCAGGAGAGGAAGAAGGGCAGGGGCGGGGCAGGGGCGGGGAGATGTTTTAACTGGTTGTTTCTTCTGATGTAATTGCAGAAACCAATCTTTTCGGTGGGTGGTTTTCATCCTGGCCCAAGGCAGAGACTCGGGATAGTAAATAAATAGACTCTCCTTTGCTTGTATATGTTGTTGGTGGTGCTGTTGTTGGTTTTTTTTTTGGTTTTTGTTTTTCACACTTTGAGAAGCTCCCATTTCCCTAAAGAGATGGACCCTCTCTTCTCCAGTTATCTTTTGGGGGGACCCACACAAAGGACAATCGTTGTGTGGCTAAAAGATTTTCTTCTGCTAGCTAAGGTCTTCCTGCCGGTTCAGAGCCAAGCTAGGTGTTTCCCGAAAGTATCAGGGGAAAATCTTGGGCATAGGAGTCCATGTATTTAACTTCCTCCTCCATCTCTTTAAGGTCTGTTGGATTTCCCTGGTGGCACAGTGGGTAAGAATCCACCAGTCAGAGCCGGGGACACGGGTTTGATCCCCGGTCCGGGAAGATTCCATATGCTTCGGAGCAACTAAGCCCATACGCCACAACCACTGAGCCCACACTCCAGGGCCCACGAGCCGCAACTACTGAAGCCCACACACCAGGAGCCTCTGCTCTGCATCTAGAGAAGCCCCCGCCCCGCAACCAAGGGTAGCCACCACTTGCCACAACTAGAGAAAGCCTGCACATAGCAACAAAGACCGTGCACTGCCAAAAACAGTTAATGTTTAAGAAAAGCTTTGTTCATCCCCTTTGTAGACGGATGGAGGAGAGAGCACAGGTGGTCACACTGAGAAGGACCATTCAGAGTTGAGGGAGACAGGTGCTAAGAGGAGGAGAAAGGTTTGCTGAGGGCCACTCGCTCTCCGTTTTGTTACCACGGGGAGGTTGGTCCTCTAGGTACACTCTAAATTGGCCAAATTTCTTTAAAAAAAGAAATTACCTCCCCCCAATTCATCTAAATCCCAAACTCTATGTGTTTATTAATTTATGTGCAGGTTCTACTTGGCTGGACAGTAGACCCGGATCCACGGGCAAGTTGCTTCGCCTCTCTGAGTCTCAGCTATTTAGCTCATGGGGCTACCAGAGGGATGGACCAAGCCAGTTCAGCACCATCCTGGCACAGACCTCCCCCCACCACCCCACATTTTCTGGTCTCTGATTATTTTCCTTATTTCCTCCTCGTGGGAAAACCCACCTCCGGGTCACTCTCTGGTCTCAGCCTTCAGAGTCTCATGCCTACCACCCAATCTTCTCCTCCTCCCCACAACCTCCCACTCAAGTTCTTACAGTTTTCCTCATCCCAAGAACCTCTGGGTTTGCCCAATGATGCCCGTGCCTGAAGCATGCCCATCATCTCTCTTCTCTGCCTTACAAGCTCTCTTCCTGAATCTCAGCCTTTTAAATTCTTACCCTCCCTGCTAGGCTCAGGTCACATGTACTACACGCCACGTGTCCGCTCCTGACCACTCTCCCCTGTAAGATGGGGCGATGACTT